ATTGGGACAACTTATATAGGTGGTAATGTAATAAATCGCCACTCTAATGGTCCAAAGAGTTCATGTTAGACATTTTGGGGGGCACGACCAACATGGCAAATCAAACAATTTCCGATGGACTGCACATGATTCTTTCGAGGGATGTTCCGGCTAGAGGAGTAATCACCAAGTGAGGGCTACACGATTCGATGACAAAGGCTTGTGGTGGAGACAATTTTGGATCTGAAGTTGAAATGGAACTCAAAGCAGGCCTTTTAGCTCCCTTCAATTTTGATTGTAGGATTCGATTCAAGCAACGGTAACGACGGTCCACCTATTTATGATGAACCCAAGTTGAGATTGAAATGAGTGGTACGAGAAATTCAAGTGTTGAATTGGTTATGATAGTAGAAAATAGAAGGTTCACGAGTTGTGAAATTTTTTTCTCGGAAAAAAAATGTAACGATGGTATTTAGAGAATAATTGTCCATGGAATTTTTTTTTTACTTAATTTTATGATTGAAGGTGAAAGGCTTTTGCAACTTTGAAATTTAAATACTATTATCATGCAAAACTCATCGCATTTATAAGTTATAATAATATGTGGTCATGTCGCGACTTGCGAGTAAGGGTCTCAATAGAGGAATTGCACCCCGTGGGCTTATTAGAAATCGTACAAGCCTATTCTTTAGGAATGTTACTTTTATTTTATAATTGTAAGATTTTAATTTATTTGGTGTTTGAATTAGGCAAAAGTAATAATAGGAGTCACGAGAGCTTTCATATAGAGTAATGCTAATCAGCATGAAAAGTACTTTGAAAAATTATTTATCTAAATTAGGATAGTCGTCTCAATTTTCCCAATGTAGATAGATGCCCCAAGCCCAAGGATCGAGCTGTGGACGGCTGGATCCATACATGTGATTGCGAACCTCATGGCTCTTGTTTGGCTCCTTGATTACTAAAAACTAGAAGTGACAATTAAGGAACAATTATTTGGAAGACAAAACAAAAAGGGCAACTGTGGTACCATTTGGCACACAAAAATTTGTTTTTCAAGGACTACGTTTCTTTAAACATGTATCATGTTGCCATCTTAACCACCACATACCTCCTACCCATCCACCCATTTTCCTTTGCTCGAGAATTCTAGAGAACTTTAAATAGCTCATCGTGAAATTTGTTCAGAAATTATTCCCATATTACTGTTTGATTTTACAAACTTCATGGCCAAGAAAGATAAGGGACATAGGATACTTGAGAAAAGGAAATGTCGGTTTGCATTGAGAGATGAAAAAATGCAAATGTGGGAAATGGGACGTGCCAGACTCACATCTATTGGAAGATGGGGACCATTTCATCGATAAAGAAAAGCCTTTAAATAAAAATTTAAAATATAGAGGACTATTTCAAAATTTTAAAAATCCAAGATTGATTGTAACTAAAAATCTAAAAAATAGAGGGCTAATTTCAAAATTAGAAATCATTTGAACTTCGGCCAAAAATGCTAAAACAAAAACTCCCCCATCATGCCGTCGGCCATTGCTGTGCAAGAGTTGATAGCTCACTTCAAGATACCAGATTTCTGAAACCAGAAAAAGCAATAGGAATAAAAAAAGGCTGAATGAAGCGCCATTGCACTATACTCTATTGCACAATTTACACAAAAGTCTGTATAAATTCTTAAAGACTACTTTTGTTCTGTAACTTTCATTCGTTCTTATTTCAAATGAGAGAAAAAAGTTGAAACATCGAAAAGAAGATTCTCGAAAAAATTCTTATTTTCGTTTCTAGTTTCTAATTATAATCCATTGATCTACTTTCCTTTGAAAGTCTTTTCTTTTTATTATAGATTTTATACCAGTTATGGTTTAGTTCTAATACTAGAATATTCCTTATATGAATTTCAAATTTCATCTTCCATTCATTCCAGTGCATTCTGTGTTAAAATACCCCAGTTCCCTTTCGGTCTGAAAATCCCACAAATTTGACTTGTTTATATTAATTTTTTGTTGGATTGATTGAATGAATAGTTGAGAATGGGTGGAAGAGTGGAGGTGATAAACAAGAAGGGATGTTCAGGGCGGTTTCTTGAATTCTCTTCTTCATTCCGAGGGTTTCAATCATATTCCTTTGAGCCCACTTCCCCTGCTTCCTCTGCCTCTGCACTTCCCGAATCTCCGGTGAAAACAGTTAATTGCCCATTTTCTGGCCTTGTTATTTGCGTTACAGGGCTCTCCAAAGGTACACTCTCATCCTCAAACAATGATTACTTTTTTTTCTGAATTCGATGCACTTCAGGTTTTCAAGAACAAATTTTTATGTTTATGAATATATTGATGTTATACATTGTTTTTTATATCAATGTTTTCATTATTATGTTTAATTGATTTGATTTCATAGTTGTACTTCTGTTGATGTTTGCTAATGTTAAATCTTGGTGAGTGTTTTCCGGATTTCTTGCAAGATAATTTATGGATTTTGTATGGTTATTAGTACTTGAAAAGTATAATACTTTGGTATAAGATTTCGAACAAGTGATGTAAACTTTTGGTCATCTCCAAAAGCTAGGAGGTTAAGTAGGAGGCTTTATCCATTGGTTGGACTAGTAGCCCTTATCCTCTATGGTCGAACACCTCATTAAAGAGGGATAAACTTATTCATTTAAATTGTGCTTCAGATGCCACAAAGGTTATCTAGCTAAGTATAAGAGGCAGGAAGTTCTTGTAAAACATGGACATCGAGTTCATTGGAGAGACTAAACAGAATTCTCGAAATGGAAGGTTTTTTTTGTCTTTAAGACAGGACAGAAGGTGTTTTAATGTGCTGTATTCAAAATAAACACTGGTTAATGAAAAGTACTAAGAAAATGTAAGAGGAAATAGTAATTAGTGAGTTGAGTGTAGTTTAATGTAACAAATATCATTTTCTAGTAGTATACATTTTATGTTTCCCTTAGTAATTGAAAAAGAAGGATTTAAATATATTTTTCTGTATTCGTTGCTTCCCGGTTCTACGGACAGAACCCAATCTTGGTCATAAAGGGAGTTAGTGCAAAATGTTTTAATTTTATCGATGTATTTTCTGCAATAATTATTGTATATTTGGCATTCATGATGTGGTTTACAGAAGCTAGGAAACAAGTGAAGGAAGCAACAGAGAGATTGGGAGGTCAATATAGCCCTCACCTACATCCGCATTGCACCCATTTGGTGGTTCAGATATCCTTAATCTTATGCAGATCTCGTTTCCTTATTTAGGATTATCATGTATGATGCCTCAATTTTTCGATTCTATTGGCTCCGTAAAGTGGCACGGATAAGATTAGGATATATGATAAAATTATGAAAGATGAAATCATTTTCAATTTGGTTAAATTAGTCATGGTCTTCAATGTCGTTGATGACAACAAAGGAAGAGGAAGCATTTGTTTTTACGCGGGATAAGTGCATGAATTTGGTCACTGGCTTCTCTGTCTAATATGTTCATTTGATGATTATCACTCAGTTATGTTGCTGATGTAAATTGTTTTCTACACCCAATACACTTGTGTTACCACTTAACGCCTCTTTCAGAAAAGAAAAATAATATCTCTTTATACCAGTTATGGTTTAGTTCTAATACTAGAATATTCCTTATATGAATTTCAAATTTCATCTTCCATTCATTCCAGTGCATTCTGTGTTAAAATACCCCGGTTCCCTTTTGGTCTGAAAATCCCACAAATTTGACTTGTTCATATTAATTTTTTGTTGGATTGATTGAATGAATAGTTGAGAATGGGTGGAAGAGTGGAGGTGATAAACAAGAAGGGATGTTCAGGGCGGTTTCTTGAATTCTCTTCTTCATTCCGAGGGTTTCAATCGTATTCCTTTGAGCCCACTTCCCCTGCTTCCTCTGCCTCTGCACTTCCCGAATCGCCGGTGAAAACAGTTAATTGCCCATTTTCTGGCCTTGTTATTTGCGTTACAGGGCTCTCCAAAGGTACAATCTCATCCTCAAACAATGATTACTTTTTTTTTTTCTGAATTTGATGCACTTTAGGTTTTCAAGAACAAATTTTTATGTATACGAATATATTGATGTTATACATTGTTTTTTATATCAATGTTTTCATTATTATGTTTAATTGATTTGATTTCATAGTTGTACTTCTGTTGATGGTTGCTAATGTTAAATCTTGGTGAGTGTTTACCGGATTTCTTGCAAGATAATTTATGGATTTTGTATGGTTATTAGTACTTGAAAAGTATAATACTTTGATGTAAACTTTTGGTCATCTCCAAAAGCTAGGAGGTTAAGTAGGAGGCTTTATCCATTGGTTGGACTAGTAGCCCTTATCCTCTATGGTCGAACACCTCATTAAAGAGGGATAAACTTATTCATTTAAATTCTGCTTCAGATGCCACAAAGGTTATCTAGCTAAGTATAAGAGGCAGGAAGTTCTTGTAAAACATGGACATCGAGTTCATTGGAGAGACTAAACAGAATTCTCAAAATGGAAGGTTTTTTTTGTCTTTAAGACAGGACAGAAGGTGTTTTAATGTGCTGTATTCAAAATAAACACTGGTTAATGAAAAGTACTAAGAAAATGTAAGAGGAAATAGCAATTAGTGAGTTGAGTGTAGTTTAATGTAACAAATATCATTTTCTAGTAGTATATATTTTATGTTTCCTTTAGTAATTGAAAAAGAAGGATTTAAATATATTTTTCTGTACTCGTTGCTTCCCGGTTCTACGGACAGAACCCAATCTTGGTCATAAAGTGTGTTAGTGCAAAATGTTTTAATTTTATCGATGTATTTTCTGCAATAATTATTGTATATTTGGCATTCATGATGTGGTTTACAGAAGCTAGGAAGCAAGTGAAGGAAGCAACAGAGAGATTGGGAGGTCAATATAGCCCTCACCTCCATCCGCATTGCACCCATTTGGTGGTTCAGATATCCTTAATCTTATGCATATCTTGTTTCCTTATTTAGGATTATCATGTATGATGCCTCAATTTTTCGATTCTATTGGCTCTGTAAAGTGGCACGGATAAGATTAGGATATATGATAAAATTATGAAAGATGAAATCATTTTCAATTTGGTTAAATTAGTCACGGTCTTCAATATCGTTGATGACAACAAAGGAAGAGGAAGCATTTGTTTTTACGCAGGATAAGTGCATGAATTTGGTCACTGGCTTCTCTGTCTAATATGTTCATTTGATGATTATCACTCAGTTATGTTGCTGATGTAAATTGTTTTCTACACCCACTACACTTGTGTTACCACTTAACGCCTTTTTACAGTTTTCATGGACACAAATTCGAGCATGCTTTGAGACACGGACCAACAAATGGTCTGTTATTGGTTACAATTGGCTGGTTTGTTGATAGCATCAGAAGGAAAGGTAATAATTTTGTATCTCAAATCTTTTTTTGGTTGTCTTTAGGGATTAGAAATTGAGTTTCTGGTATATAGTTTTCATTTCCTTGTATTAGCTTTGTGCAATATATATGTTTTAAACCTAATACTTACTTTAGAGTCCTCTAGCATTTGTTGCCCTTAATCCTGTTGTATCTAAGTCATTAGTCATTTCTTTATTCAAGAAACTTGAAACATTGATTTTGTTTTTAATGCTATAACTAAGTCAGTGGCTATAGCTTAGCTTTCATAATTCTATGCAATCATGAAAGAAGATTATAGAATGAAACCTTCTGGCATAATTCTATTCTGAACTTATTTCTGAATTATAATAATTTTCGAACAAAAAAGTTAAAATGTTTTATTCGTTTGAGTTACTGAGGTTGTTTCCTTTATCCATTTCAGTAAGGTTGAGTGAATCCCTTTATAGCATTAGTGTCGGAAAAGTGGATGGTTTGAGCTGGAATGTTCAGAATGCTAGTATTGAGAATTCTTGCCTTCCCACTGGCACGCTTGAGTATGCTAAGCAACTTGACATGACTGGAGGACGGCAATCACACTTTTCGAAAGGAGAGCCTAAAATGACAGTTTCTTTGCCCGTTGTTGGTCAATCCTTTTACATTGACCCAGACATATCTGCCGAGCTACACAATAAGGTAGGTTCATGGACTTGAAGTTTCCCAGATGCTGAAGTTTTGTTCTGCTTGCTTCAACGATATTAAGTGCATGTTTGGATAAGCTTAAAAACTTTACTTATAAGTCTTAAAATAGACAGTATGTTTGTTCGTCAAATTTGGAAAATAGTAATCTCTAGGTTACTGTCAAATATAGGTAATTTTTTAATAAATAAATAAATTAACCTATCAAAACATGTTTAGAAACAAATATTTATTTGAAAAGAAACTTTTAATGACTTAAGCTTAGGTAAACATGTGCCGTGCAAGTCTTACGTGCTTATGTTGTTATGAAGCTCGTACTTTCTGAATTTAAATGAATTAAAGTTGTTCAAGGTGCTTTGAATAATTGATACTGTTCAACGAGGAAACATTTTCTCAGGTTGTTGAGGCTGTCTCTACACAAGGTGCTACTTTGGTGGATCAATGGTTTGTTGGCTGCAGAGCTAGTTATGTAGTATGCGAAGGATCTTCAATTCAAAAATATTTGGGGCACTCCAGTAACATTGTTACAGTAAGTGCTCCCTTGTAGTTTTCACATTTATGAATGACTGCCAAATGTGTTAGATATTATTTGGAGTTGATATAGTTCATAAATCAGAGTGAAATTTTATTTTTGTCCATGTCAGTCCATGTTTGATGCGAAGCTGTAGACAGGATAGTACAGTATGTAAACAAAAGTTTAAATTCTTTTTTCTTGGTTAATCTCTCTAGTGTTGTCCAATCCTCCTACCAAACATGTCAATAGCGCGTCTAGTACTTTTCCAGGCCTTTACGATAGTACATAAATATTGTGCTCCAGTTGCATTTTTTCTTCATACTGTTGTTTTCACACAGCCACTATGGGTTCTGAAGACTGCAAAAGAAAAACATCAACAGAGGCTTGTTCACTTATCTGCTGATTTGGCTAGGAATATTGGAACAATACTTGATACTGTTCAAAACAGCATTCCTGGTGAGGTATGTAGTTGTTTCAACTATTTAAATGTATTTTGTTGTTCAGTTGTATGGTCTACCAAAAAGCAATGTTTAAAAAGGCATACTTGGGTACCGAGGCATTTTTCTTTCTTGATGCAAGGCGTTTTGAGGTTTAAGCCTCACCGTAAACCATAAAAATGTCAAAAAAGTTATAAAATGCACACTAAGCACATAATAAATCAGAAACAATTTTCAAAATTCAATTTAAAGTGCACAAACTGATGAGTTAGAATGAGAAGACTCTAGAATGGAGGAAGAAAAGCGGCGGGAAAAAATATTATGCTGAATTCAATCTAACGAATATCAGTACATGTGTATATATATATATACAAAAATGTAACTACCATAACAGAATGAAAGAATGGGAAATGACTTAAATACCCCTATACTAATGTGACTCAATACTCACCCTCAAGATGGCAAATGTATATTTAACACTCCCATCTTGCTTAATAATGATTTGAATCTAGCTCTTCCTAATGACTTGGTTAACATATCTGCGGCGTGCTCTTGTGAAGCCACATATAGCATCTTCACTAGGACTGTCAATGGATTTTATTTTGATCCGAATCTGACGAAATTAATGGGAGATGGATTTAGGGTTTCAGTCCGATAACTCGATCAAAATCCGAATCCGATAATCTGTTAACTAAATGGATCAAATATGGATATAGGTCAATCCGATCCGATAATAATCCGATTCGATTTGTTATAAATAATTGAGTTAGTAAAATATTTTTATGGCATATTATTTGTTACTAAAATAAATAAATGAGAAAATAAAAAAATTTAGAATAAAAAAGTAATTAAATTCAAAATATATAAAAGTTGAAAAATTTATAATTATTAAATCTGTTTAAGAATTGAAAATTTTGAAAAAAAACTTGATTTCAACTAATATTTTAAAAATCGACCCGAGCATCGACCCGGAAAAGGAAGAGGGTTAAGGATCAAAAAGTCAAATTGGGGTCAAATCGGTATCGAACCTGTTGTCAAATTGGATAAATAACTATACACATAAATGTAAAATATTATAAAAATAATAGAATTTTTAAATTTTAGTTTACTAATTTAAAGCAAATAAATATCTATATTTTTCTTAATTATTTTTATTATTGTAATTAATTTTACAATTTCATAAACTAATAATTNTAATTAAATTTATAATTGTAATTCATTTTACAACTTCAAAAACTAATAATTAATATGTAACAAATAATTTGATTTGTTAATGGAAATAGTGAAATAAAATATTTATATTTAGAATTGAAATTCAATTTTACCTTATTCCACATCGAATGTCAATAGAAAATTAGAAGGGGATCTCTCCTTTAAAAATGAACATCTATTGGGCTTGCTAGTAAAAATAGGTGGACCTCAAGTTAGTTCAATTTTTTTTAAAGAACATTGATTTTTTTCCCTAATTTTTATTGATTTCGGATCGAATATCCGATATATCTGTTGGATTTTCGAATCGGATTGGATCAGATAATTTTCTTATCGGATCGGATTGGATATAGACATATCTGATCCATATCCGATCCATTTACAGCCCTAGTCTTCACCTACCCCGTTTGCATCTTATCCCTTACAAGATGATAATCAATTTATATGTGTTTCGTTCTTTCATGAAACACGGGGTTGCTAGCTATGTGTATAGCCTACTGATCATCACATAACAACAAGACTGGTCTGGTATGTACAACACTTAAATCTCTTAGTATATTTTTCAATCAAGTGAATTCACAAACTGATACCGCCATGGATCGATACTCAGGTTCAACTGAAGATCTTGAAACCATATGTTGCTTTTTAGACTTCCACGATATTAATGAGTTTCCCAAGAATATGCAATAACTAGTAATGGATCTTCTACTGTCCGAACACGCTGCCCAATCTGCATTACAGAAGCATTTGAGATGCAAATCAGATTTGCTTTCAAAGATGAGACCTTGTTCTGGTGTACCCCTTAAATACCATAACACATGATAGGCTGCCTCTAGATGAGATTGTTTTGGTGATTGAAGAAATTAGCTCAGGACTTGTACTGCATATGATAAGTGTAGTCGTGTTATTGTCAAGTAAAGAAGTCTTCCTACCAATCTTCTGTATACACTAGCATCTGCAATTGCTTCTCCTTCATTCTTGCTCAACTTCAAGTTGTGTGGTAAGAGGCTATTTGCTGGTTTGGCTCCAAGATAGCCTGCATCTGTTAGAATGTCCTGGGCGTATTTGCTCTGACAAATGGATATCCCTGTTGAATTCTTTGCTGCTTCAAGAACTAGGAAATATTTCAGAGTCCCCAAATCCTTCCATCTGAATTGTTCATTTAGCTCATTTTTAAACTGCTCAATATAGGACAAATTATTTCCACCAATGATAATATCATCCATTTAGATGAGAAGTACAGTAAATGAGCAGCCATCATGTTTACTGAATAATGAATGATCAGATTTCGATTGCCTAAAATCTTGTGAAAGAATGTAAGAAGTTTGCTTCATATTCCATTGTCTCGAAGCCTGTTTGAGTCCATAAATGTACTTGTTTGGTTTACAAACTAACTTCTCACCATTCTCCCCCTGCTGTTCATAACCTGGAGGCATCAACATGTACACCTCCTCATTCAAATTCTCCATGGAGGAAAGCATTGTTTATATCCAGCTAATGAAAGTGCCACTGCTTGTGGGTTACAGCAGGAAGAAGAGTTTTTACAGTGACCAATTTGGCAACAGGGAAAAATGTTTCTTCATAATCTAAGCCAGCTTGTTGAGTGAAACCTTTAGCTACAAGATGTGCCTTCTTCCTTTCTTCTGAAACATATGAATTGAGCTTTACTTTGAAAACCCATTTACAAGCAACTGGAGTCTTATGTACAGGCAATGTACTAACATCCCAAGTATTATTAGAAACAAGATCTTGATACTCAGAATCCATAGCTTTGCACCAATTTGGATGCTGAGATGCTTCAGCAAAGGAGTGAGGTTCAAAAACAGTGGATAAAGCCGGTGAGTAGTATCGTTGGGAAGTAGACAACAAACTATAACCCAAGTAGTCTAAAATAGGATATGGCTTCCCAAATTCAGAACCTTTCACCTCATAATCTGACTGAGGAATAAGCTTTTGAGGAATAGACATTTGAGGCATCAAACTACAATGATAATTTGTAAATAGGAAGGAGCACGTTTTGATCTGCTAGATTTTCTTGTGGGTATAACATGAGGCGATGAGGATACTTCAGATGAATGTGGAATAAAAACAGGAGAATCAAGAGAATTACTTGAAGGTGAAGAGGAATAAATATGTGAAGTAGGGTCTGATGTAGGAAATTGATCATCAATATATTGTTGAGGTTGTGCTGGAAAAAGAAAGGAATCAAGCTGAGAAATGACATCAGAATTTTATAGAGGTAAGTAAGGAAGGATGATGGAAAGGAAATATAGTTTCATGAAAACAAATTTCTCTTGAGACAAAAATTGTGTTGGTTTGAAGGTTGTACAACTTATAAGCTTTCATACCATAAGGATACCCAATAAAAATGCATGGTATTGCCCTGTGATCAAATTTGGTTCTATTTCTTTTCAAAGTAGAGGCATAACATAAACATCCAAAGACCTTAAGGTGAGTATAAGATGGTGTAGGCTGATAAAGCACTTCATAAGAGAATTTGTCTGCAAGTACTTTAATAGGTGTACGATTAATGATGTGTGTGGCAATTAGGATATAATCCCCCCAAAAATAATGAGGTAAGCTGGCTTGGAATTTAATGACTCTAGCAATGTTTAGTATATGCTGATGTTTCCTTTCAATCACACTATTTTGTTGTGCTGTCTCAACGCAACTTAACCGGTATATAATTCCCTTGGAAAGATAGAAATCAGTCATGTGAAACTCTGAACCATTATCAAACCTGAGTATTTTCACATTGCATTGAAAATGTGTTTGAATAAGATAGTAAAAGGATTGAATAAGAGTTATGGTTTCAGATTTATTTCGCATGTGATATGTCCAGATCATCCTGCTATAGTCATCAACAATAGTAAAAAAATATCTAGAATCATCTAAAGGAGTAGAGTATGGTCCCCATATATCGCAGTGAATGAGATCAAATGGTTTGGAAGCTTTTGTTTCACTACTTGAAAAAGACAACTTGTGTTGTTTGGCCATAGGTCAAATAACACAATGTAAATGGCTTGTTAACAGTAATGTTAGGAACGGATCTATGTAAAAGGATCAATTTAGAAACAGGTACATGTCCTAAGCGACAATGCCAAACATCAATATTAGTACGAATATCAGTATTGCTGATAGAATTACAAATATAATCTGATTTATTACGTTTCAAATTAGAAACAGAACTATGACTGACATTGGAAGGAACAATAGAATTTCTAATATGAGAGATATCAGAAAGTGATTGGAGTTGTTGAGAGTGGTGCGAAGATTGATCATTGAGTTGGTGGTCAGAATGTTGAAGATGATACAGTCCATCCTCAAGTTTGCCTTCCCCAATCGTCATCCATGTTAAAAGATCCATAATAAAACAGGAATGATGTAAGAATATCAAGTAACAGTTATGCTTAAATACTAAGTTGCTGCTGATATCAAGTTAAATTTAAAACATGGAACCACTAGCACATTTGTTAAAACTAATCTAGTAGATAACTTCGCTGTGCCAACATGTGTTACTGCATTACTGTCACCATTTGGCAACCTCACAGACGCACTAACAACAGCAGTCACAGTAGCAAGTGTTTAATGGAGCAAACCATATGTTCTGAGGCCCCTGTATCTATGATCCATTTGTCTGAAATAGTAGAAGCATTGGAACAAATACGGTTACCTGAGAAGGCAAAAGCATCAAACACTGAGGGTGAAGGAGATGACACATCTTGAAGCTGTGAATTGCAAGTTGAGATCTGTCCTAGCAACTTTGGCACCAACACAAACAGAATTTGTTGACATTGGCTTGGAGTGATTGTGAGATGTGATAATGAGTTTAGGATTTCTGAATTATCACCATGAGATGCCTGTCCAACAGCATTTGCAGCTGGAGTTTTCCCTTTACCAAACTTGTGACCAGGAGGATAACCTATCAACTTGTAACATTTGCTCCTAAGATGTACAAGCATGCCACAATAACTGCACATAGGCCTTTCCTTCTTCTGAAACTGATTAGGTGAAATAGGCATTTGATTGCCAAAAGATTTGTGCACCATTTTGCTAGCAAAAGCTACTGCATCAAAATTCTGTTGAATTTTGGCAACCACTTCTTTCTACCTCTCGTCTTGTAAAATTAATGCAAACACCTTATTAGTGAAGGCAAATGATCCTTTAATAAAATTTAACTTTTGACAGCAGAAAAATGTTCATCTAGTCCCATAAGAAATTGCATAACCTGATCTTCACACTTGTAATCAGTAGTGTTAACATTCGGCCTGTAATTATCCAATTCTTCCCAAAGTCCTTTGAACCGATTGAAATAAGAATTAACCGAACTGTTTGATTGTGAAATCAAAGCAATCTGTTTCTTTAACTCATAGATGCGAGGACCATTACCTTGACTATAACGATCCAAGAGCTCGATCCAAACTTTTCTTGCAGAATCCTTATGCACTACACTTGGATAAAGTTCTTTCGGAATGGAATTGATGATCCAAGATGAAACCACATGATTGCACCTCCGCCAAGCATTGTACAGAGGATCATCTTGAGATGGTTTGAGAATGACTCTATCAATAAATCCTTCCTTCTTTTTGACACTATGTGCTAAATTGCAGTGCGACTCCACGTCTCATAATTTGCTTCAGTAAGTATAACAGAGATGATTTGCATCCCTGTGTTATCACCATAGTGAAGATAATAAAGACTGCTCAGATCATTGATTAACCGGTTTATCAAAGAAATTGTATCTCCAGCAACTACATTTTCAGATGATGACTCGATGGATGAACTGACACGATCAAACTAGTTTTGAACCTCCGCTTGAACACTAGAATCCTTCGCCATTGCAGGGAAGGTTCAATGCTCTGATACCATGATGAGTTAGAATGAGAAGACTCTAGAATGGAGGAAGAAAAGTGGCGGGAAAAAAATATTCTGCTGAATTCAATCTAAAGAATATCAGTTCAGGGAATGTTCAATGCTTTGATACCATGAGGAGTTAGAATGAGAAGACTCTAGAATGGAGGAAGAATAGTGTATTCCGGTGAATTCAATCTAAAGAATATCAGTACACGTGTATATATATACAAAAATGTCTAACTACCATAACAAAATGAAAGAATGTGAAATGACTTAAATACCCCTATACTAATGTGACTACAAATAAACAAAAGAAAAAATCTATAGAGTAATAAAAAGAAACTCCACTTTAATTGGTATGGGACAGTCCAAAGTGTTTTAGAGAAACACAATTTTTTAATATTTTAGTAGGGTGGTGGGCTATTCCCTAAGTGGATCAATAAGAATTTTTATTGTTTCATGGACTCACGCCTAAAGCAAAGTAAATGAATCTGGAAAACGGAGTGCACGCCTCATGAGCCTTGAGGTAGTGCTGTGAGGTGTGTACCTTACTCGGTTGAGGCGTATGCCTCCAAAAATTGCCTTACAAGGGCGTGTTTTGTTCACCTCACTTTTAGGTTGGCCCCAATTGGGATTTTCTAGACCATGCAAAGAAGACCTCTCATTCCCAAAACCTCCTTTCCTGAGGGTTGAACCTACACTAGTTGCAGGTGGATCAACCTTTTCATCATTAGTCTGATCTCCAGTATCAAGTTTTTTTTTTATTAGTTGTTTTTCTTAGCTTTTCATGTTCTATTTTCCCCTTTCTTTCTTATTGCTTCCCTGTTCTGTTGAGTTCACAATTCCAATATATTCATTTTGTGTTTAACCAGAAAGCTTTACTCACTTTTTTAACAATGGACAAAATATTTTAGGAACTCGGGGCCTTTAGGATGTTTGTTAATTTGCCCTCACTGGATCCATATTTGTATCTAGAATCCATTCAAGCCAATGAGCCCATGGATTTCTATGATTCACGTTAAAATTTATTCAGACACAAAATCGTACTTAGAAGATATTAGTGAGTCATTGTAAATCGAATTTAAATTATGCTTTTAAACTGGTTGGAGTTTCCGAGTCAACAATTTGATTTGCTTGGTTGATCTGCTTCAAAATAATTGTCAGACAAGAAGCCTCAAATGGCTGACTTGCTATAGTGGTAATTTGAATATTTTGGTACAAACAGTTTGATGTTGCTTATGTCACCATATTTTTTTTTTCAAATAGAATTCGATCTTTTGACCCCCATCATACAAATTTCAAAGCAGTATTTAAATAAATTCTAGTGGTATTATTAACACTTAATTACTTTCTCATTTATGAGCTTTAACATTGATTATCTTTAGGAAGTTAATGGGTTCACTGGTCCTCAAGGTGCACCTGGTTCTGAAATTAAAGTAAGCCATGAAGAGAGAAAAAAAATTGCAGACTTGGCTAAAGATGGGATCAGAAAGCGACGGGGTAACCGGATGCAGGTAAACTGTGAATAATTAGTTTTAGGCTAATGCATACTGCGTAATTTGAAATGATTGCATTGATGAATCCAAAATGTGTTTTAGATGTGAAAATCGTCATAATCTACGATGCGTTTGTGATTGCAGACATGTCAAATTCCAATACGTCCCATAACGCCAAGCAGCCTTTTGGATTCTATCAGCTGGTCAATATCTGAGCCAACTTCCACTGCTTCTATCTATACAGACTCTTCAAGTTTTGAGAATGCCGACGAAGAGAGCACGACTGTATTGTTTGATGCAAAGGGGAATGGTAAAGAATTGGAGGCTTCATTTGTCAACTTATCCCGACCACTTACAGAAAGGTCATCTATCGCTATCACCATTGAACTCTTGCTTTTCTGTTTCAGCCCATAAAATATTGTCTTGTGCAAACACGCACTGGTTTGGGTCTAACATGTGTCTGTATTTGTGGGTTCAATTGCAGTGAAAAGTCCGAGTTGATATTCAAAAGTCACTTCCTCACTTTGCTGTTTCCGATTGATCGTTTTTCAGAGATGGGCCCGAGATCAAGGACATTCTTTAGTGACAAAGGCTTTACGTGTTTGCAGGTGTTGGATCATATCTATACATTTTACCAGGTATTTGATTCTCTTTTTTGCATTGACTAATTGCGTCGGCCACCATAAAAGGGTGGTGATAGTGTCTTTAAACAAAATGGTTGTCAATTTGTGACTTGGAGTCGAGCCTCATACAATATTAAAATCCTTTTTCTTGTTTTTCTCACAGGAGAATATGTTGACTGAGGAAATAGAGGTAGCTATTCACACAGACTCGAGGCATGCTGACCGGCTTCGAGCAGCATACTCCAGTAAACAAAATACCGTGGAATTTAAGCGCATTGATTTTCTTGGCAGTCGTAAAAGTTTTGAAATGTTGAAACGCGTTTCGGGTGATAACAATAGTAATGTTTACGAGCTATTGATAAGAGCATGAGATCCTTGTGTAAAGTTGAAACCAGTTGTGACCTTTGAGATCGTGTCATTCCTTGTCTGAGGACCCTTTTTCGACTAGAAGGCCATGAATTCAGCCTTTTCTTGGATTATTAATGGAAAATGTAAATATTCGCTATTCAATCGTGTCGCAAGTGTTTATATTGCAGAGACGAGGGACAATTCGCCATTCTGTTTTCCTGTAATTTACTAATTTAGGAGCCTCTGTAATTGTAAAAATTTCAGGGGTTGATTAGACGCTTTCCGATCACCCTGACATTGCTCGCTAGAGTTAATACTTAAGCTTTACATGGACTTTAATTCAAAAATTCATTTTTGATTATAGCTGCTTGAATCCAGTCTTGATTTGGATTTAAATGCAACGCAGTGATAAAATGCCAGAATTTACTATTTCTGGATTTTAATTTGTGTTTCATACATCTATACTCTCCCCATTAGGGCTGTCCGTGGGTCGGTTCGGTTCGGTTCGGTTTTGAAGAGGCCCGAACCGACCCAAAACTTTCGGGTATTTAATAAATGGACCCGTCGGGTCCAAATATAAATATATAATCGTTCGGGTTCGGTTCGAGTCTGTTCGGTTCCGTTCGGTTCGGTACCATAATTAAATTTTT